TTCCCTGGAGCAGTCATGATGACAGCCAAGCTACTCCCGAAGCACATCCATGTCAGCGCTATTGGCTTTGCCATGGCTATTGGTGGTACTGGTGGAACGGTTTTTCCGTTCATCATTGGCGCGATTGCGACAAGTAAGGGTGTTGCTGTACTCCAGCCGATTGTCCTGTCGCTGATTGCAGTCGTGGCTATCGTGTGGCTTTGCTTCCCTCGCATCAAGAAGCGGGATGAGAACATTATGTCTGGTCTATAAAAAAGAGGTATAACAAGGCGCTGTCCTTGATTGTACAATTGCCCACGTAATTTGTTGCCGAGCCATAGATGTAGGTAGATGAAAGATAGAGCTCATCGATCATTCCACCACAGACACACTACAGTGGGAATCAATTTGGGAGAGAAGCTTCTGCTCAGTTTAAAGAGTAAACCGCGCACTTATATACAATGCCTCCAAATAACCCAGCTCTGGCAAACGGTCGGACCCCATATGTACACAACAGGGGCGTATATCAACAGACCAGCAGCGTTGCGCATATACACTGAGTCAAGTATGTACAAAGAAATATCATTTCATCCCACCATACCATAATTACGACATCCAAACCGGCTGATGATCCAATTACAACTTTTGGCCAGCAGCGCCGGGGACGGAACCAGCAACGTTGCCGGAGCCGAGAGCGGCAATCTTGTAAGGCAACGAGGCAGAGGTGAGGGTTCCCTTGGGAACGGAGTTCTTGGAGCCACCGAGGTCGACGTCCTCAGCGACGGCGTGTCCGGTCTCCTTGGAGTCAGCGAAGAAGATGGCTTCGGCGGGGCAGCTGTTAAAGGCGGTGCTCTGGACAAGGACCTGGGCGCCCATGCGGGAGTTGATACCGGTGAGCAGGAGCTTGTCGTAGTATGAGTTGACGACGTGGACGGTACCGAAGCGGACGAGAGGAGTACGGGAGTTGATGTTGGTCCAGTGGTTGTTGGCATAGGTGACGTGAAGCTTGCCCTTGTCCTCGCTGCCGTTGCTGTCAGAGTGACCGACCAGGGATCCCTTCCACTGTATTATCGTTGTTAGTTTGGAACTTGTTGAGAACCAAGAGACAGAAGCCAAGATCATAACAGGACTTACGTGGTCGTGGAAGTAGACGTTGGAGACCGTGATCCAGTCAGCACCGTGGGAGATGTCGAGGAGACCATCGAGGTCATCCTTGCCTCCGCTCAAGTCACCAGAAAGGTCGCAGTGATCAACCCAGACGTTGGTGGACTCATCGATACCAATGGCATCACCATTGCTAGCCTTGACACCGCCGATCTTCAGGTTGCGGATAATGACGTTCTTGACCTGGCGGACGTACAGGCCAACGTTGTTGAGCGCTACAGAGATATTGACATTAGTATAACAGTGCGTAAGAGGCGGTAATTGTAACCTTCACGATACTTACAGCTGCCCTTCTCTCCGATGATGGTCTTGTCAGAAGAAACGCGGACCTTGGCGCTGCCAGAGATGGCCCCGGAGATGACTATGGTAAGGGGACCCTCCTTCTTAGCGGCAGCAACGAGCTCATCGACAGTCTTGACGGTAACACTGGAGCCGCCGGCACCACCGGTGGTACCTTCGCCTTGGGTGCAGTAGCCGATGTTGCAAGCCTCGGCGGCCTGGCGGAGAGCAAGCTCGTTGCGGGCGGTGACGATGTTGGCAGGCGAAGCCGCGGCCAGAGCAGCCATGAAGGTGACAGCTGGAAACTTCATCTTGGTGGTGTTGAGTATCTTAGGTAAATAGGCTGGGTAAGGAATCGGTTCGGATGAAATAATAGGTAAATGTCGTGAAGCGGGTGACTAGCACTACCGAAGTTGATGGAATGGGATGAACAGGAAAGAGAATGAAAGACTTGAAAGGCGCGATGGAGAGAAAGAAGAACTGTTGGTCCGACCTATCGACGGCTGAGTCTTATATATAAAATACAAGCGCCGGATTCCGTTTCTCGTTTAAAGTGAGGTAAGATGGCGCCATTGGTAGTTGTGGTAACTTGCAAGAAGGCCAGTCCGCGGCTCCACGTTGACAACTGCATTGCTGGGCGTTTCCAACTGAGCGCATCCCTTGAGCTCATCGAGACCCTTATTTATTTCGCCTTCTGTGTAGTCCAAGATGATCTTACAAACATGACAGGGCATGGGAGGGACTAGACGAGGATTCCGTCGATAAAGACGCCTTGGCCGAAGGATACAGCAAGAGGTGATTGGCCTCTAGCGCGGCCGTTACATTGACATGAACGACGCAAGTAAGGAAGACCGATGTCTTGGCCCGTCCCATGACGGCCAGGGTACCAAAGCCAGAGAACTGGGCGCGACTTCATTTCCTAAAAGAACGCGAGAGAATGGCTCCTGTCCGATATTGCCCGTCTTCTGGTATGGCCTGGTGTGGTTGGGGAGTGCAGGGGTTGCGAATAGGCTCATTCGGCTGTTGCTGGCAGGGCCTAGCTGAACCCACCGAGGGCAGAAGACCGAGCCAGTGCCCCCCCAGCTGGGCAGCCGTCCGCAGTAACGCTGAAGGTGTGACCCTGCGCTAGAGTTGTACAGCTGCTATGTTTCGGATCAGCAGGGTGAGTGGCTTTTGCGCGCGGCACCCCAGAGATAGATGAACGCCAAGATGCTGTCTAAATGAACGAGGACTGGTCGTTGGAGGAATAACTCAAAGCAGAGCGTCGCCGTGTGCAGAGCGGATGGCGCCGCCTATCTAAGAAGATGCGCTGCTGATCTGATGGGGGTTATTGTCATGATGAGTGTGGGGGGATGACCCCTGGCCTGGTTGCTCATAGCGAGTTGCCAACGAGTTGATGACCGGCTCCCATCTCTTTACACCTTTTACCTCACGTTGAAAGCCCATCTTACGGCGAGTTCTCAACTATAGAGGAACACAGATGCGAAAGGAAACTTCTATATCTTACTTCCTTGTAACTTCCCGGCACTTTGCGATCACTTCGTAGCGAACTTTATCACTCTCAGACAGTATGCCCGTCATGATGCAAGAAGTGAGGGGGGCGGTCATTGACCTGTGCATCTACCCGCAACCTTGGCATGTTGCACTATTGAAAAGGGGGATTAGCTGCCAAGAATGCGAATATTGGCATTCTGCACTGCCAAACTCTGCTTTCCAATCATCGTGCAGTTCAACTGCCTACTCCACCATTTTCTCACTTCTTACCAAGCACGAGAACAGAAGACAATAGCGGCCTTGTGTTACCCATTCAAGGCGGGCGTATCCCGTGGCCTCCTCCTCGCCTCTCACGAGTCATCGATGCACCAACGTACTCAATCCAACTGAGCCGATAGCGCCAAGACGTCTATATCGAACCAACCTTGGCATTCTACAACGCAGGAGATTGGAACCTGAACATCAAACGGCTCGTATTCGATCGGCAGAAATCCACAATCAAGGGGAGAACGTCTTGCTCTCAAGAGAAAGGAGAGAGCAAGATCCGCTAAATCAAGAACTCAGCTGGTAGCTACGTCTAGCCAGACGTATGTCGGGGGAAGATTGTTGTCAACGAATACAATTCAAGGTCGGTTGCGATGTCTGGTCAGACCCAGCAGGTCAGCACTCCCTCTAGCCTTTAAACGACTCCATAGCGTCATGTATGCCTTCTGTACTAACCAATGCCGAAAAGGTTAGCACCTGCGGTGACACCATTTTGTCTTAGGATCTCTTTGCATAGCGACGGCTACCGGAATCCTTCTCGATATCGACCGACGGTTGCATCTTGCCGAACTCTTCAGATCGCCCGGGTCATGTGGCAATCTTCGCCATTGACTTATTTTGCACGAATGAAACTGTTTCCTCCGTCTCCGAATGACCATACGGAAAAGCCACCGACATGCCTTGAAGAAGAAGGTGGGTTGATCAAAGCTAACATTACATCCATCTAAGGATTCCACTCCACTGTAAGCGATTTCCGGTTAGATTCAATTTGCTGCATTGATTCGACTCAGGCACAGTATCCGCATTGATCGAGGAAGGAAGGGTGACCTCGGACGAAGAATCAAGACCATCAATGACGACCTCAATAGCTATTTTTGTGATCTTGATCTGCATCTCGAGAGATATTAGATGATCATCAGAAACGAAATCGGCGCTTCGCTCAGCCTCGTATTTTTAAAAAGTTCTAGCTTACTAATTACTAACTATATACTAAGAGAATAGGTTCTCGTCGAGGTAGTATTTTAACTAACTAACCTCTTAACTAGTTATTTAACTAGCTATCTAAGTAGTAGTTTATATATTAATAAGTTTATTTAGTAAATTTATTTAGTAAATTTATTTAGTTTAAATAAAGAGTAGTTTTAAATAATATTAAAAATAATAAAAATAAAAAGAATTTTTACGAGCTCTAAGTAGTAAATATTAGCCTATTTAGCCTTTTCTTTAAAAACCTCTACGTCGCTATTAAAATTTAGAACCTCTATAATTAAGGGCTACCTCTAATTATTATAGCTAACTATTATAACTAACTATTACGGCTAACTATTATAACTAACCTTTATTATTAACCTTTTTAAGTAGTACTACTACTAAAAAGGGTAGCTTACTTATCCTAAATTAAATAGTAGTTTTTATATCGAAATTATTATATTACGTTAAGCGCGTACTTAGGATATATTACGCGTATTATATAATTAAAAAGTATATTATATTATATAATTTTTTTTAAAAACGTAATCCCGTTAAGGTCGATCTTTTATACTTATAAAGCTAGAAAAAAAACTACTATATAAAAACGGATTTACTAATATTATAATAAATCCGCTATATATATTAAAATTATAAAAGTAATTAAGGACTACGTAATTTATAAAAAAAATAAAAATAGCTTATATAAGCTTTATAGCGAGCTATAATTATTATAATTATTAATAAAAGTATAGTATTTAATTATATAGGACTTTATTATTAAATTACTAAAGTTTAGAGAACTATTTATTAAAGTATAGTATAATAGTATTTTAGTTATAGTTAACTAACTTATTAAGTTTATATATTTTATCCCCTATAAAGAATTTAATACGGTAAAAGACTTAGTATACGTATTTATTAAAGTTATATTTTTAAATTACGGTTTATTAAAAGAAATTATTTTTAAAAAGGATAAGCTATTTATTTTGAAGTTTTAGAAATTACTAATTTTATAACTTAGTATAAATTATAAACTATTAATATTATTTTATTTATAAACTAATAAATAAATAAAAAAGATTAACTAAATCTTTAAAATATACTTCTATTATTATATAAACTATAACTAAAATAATTAAGTAGTACTTTTATTAATAACCTAGTTCGTATATAATAATATAGTTAATAAAAGTATAAGAAAATCCCCGTTTTATTTTAATTACGGATTCTAGCTAATAGTATATAGAGAAGTATAATAAGGACTATAAGTTATAAAAGCTATAATAAATATAAGTAAACTTAAAGAAATCTATAAATAAGTATTAATAAACTTCGAATTCGTATAATAATATATAAAGAAAAATATAGAGAAATTAAGAATTAAAGGACTATTTTTAAAAAAAGGGGATAGTATTTATCTTTTTTATTATAATATTAAAATAAAATAACTAAGTAATAAATTAGATTATAAAAAACTTAGACCTTTTAAAATTATTAAAAAAGTCTTATTAATTAATTATAAATTAAGATTACTAAATATAATATAATATTATCCCGTTTTTTACGTCTTATTACTTAAGCTTATATTAAGAAGTTTATATATAGAAATTTATATTATTATTAAACTAAACTAATTAAAATAAAAAGTTAAACGAATTATTAATTATAAAATAAAAAATAATAAAAAGGAATATTTTATTAAATAGAAAAATTATAAATATAAAAAAAATATATAAAAACTTATTATAAACTTTTAGAACTCTTAATAACTTCTTAAAGAATATTAAAATTAAAATTAAATTTAAAACTTTTAGCTATTACGGCGTCCTAATTAATAATTTTAAAAATATTATTAACTTATACTTTACGGGCCGCTAAGGAAGTATTTTTAAAATTTTTAAAAAACTTCTTTAATATAATCTAACTTTTTTTAAATACTATTCGTTTTTAAAAACGAAAACGCTCTAATTTAAATAATAACTTATTTAACTTAGCTTAAGCTTATTAATAAGCCTTAGCTTTTTTTTATAACTCCGTAGCTCTTTTTTAAAACTACGACTTTTTTATTTTTTTTTTATAATTAAAATAATTAAACTCTATTATTAACTAACTAATTATACTTAATTAGCTAAAACTTAATAAATAAAAATATAATATTTATAAGTATAAATAACATTAATAGAAGTATTATATAAAATACTTAAATAATAGTATATTTTATAAACCTCGGAATTAAAAAAAACTAAATAACGGACCCCTCGCGAGTAATAATTTAAATAAAATATTATTTTTATACTTTTATTAAAAAAATAAATAATACGTAATAATTTATAACGAGATATAACTATTAAAAATTTTGATTTTTTAATTTAACTTAATATTATATTAGTATATTTTAAAAAAATATTTAATAATTTCTTAATTTAAAAATAAATAACTTATTTATAAGCTTAGCCCCCCGACGGAGCAATCTGCCGGGGCCGTACTGTATATTACGTATTAAGGAAAACTAGGTATATTGCGCTCTATACCTAATTACTAATTAAAATAGTTAATCGACTCGACTGTTATTTTCTTTTTATTAATAGCTCCTGACCTTCCCCCGTAGTCCTCTAAGTTCTAGCCGTTTAGAGAGTAAACTATACCTACTTTAATATATATAAGACCTCTTAGTACTAGCCCGCGTAGGTAACTAGATCCCGTATTATATACTCCTTCTCGTCGAGGGTTAGGGGGCCCCTTATATATTCCCTTACGTCTATAATATAGCCCGTACTAGAGGGATTTCTAGCTCCGTAGAGTATAATTTCTAAGCTAGCATTAATATACCGGATCTTAATATCCGTACTAGCCTAGCTATCTACGGCATTCGTATTATTACCTAGCCGGATTCCGCACTACTAAAAAGTATTTTACCACTTCTTAAGCGTACCTATATTAGCTACGATAGCTATAGTATCGAGCTAGCCGAAGAGGGCGCCTAGCCCGAGAGGGGCAGACTTATTAACGGGCATCTTTAGCTTACTAATTACTAACTATATACTAGGAGTAGAGTAGGTTCTCGTTAAGGTAGTGGTTTGTATATTAATAGGTTTATTTAGTAGATTTATTTAGTAGATTTATTTAGTTTAAATAGAGAGTAGCTTTAGGTAATATTAAAAGCGATAAGGATAAAAAGAATTTTTACGAGCTTTAGTATAGTAAAAAAGTAGTAAATATTAGCCTATTTAGCCTTTTCTTTAGAAACCTTTACGTTACTATTAAAGTTTAGAACCTCTGCGGTTAAGGAAGGCCGCCTCTAATTATTATAACTAAATATTATAGCTAACTATTACGGCCGACCTCTACCGTCGACCTTTTTAGCCGGCGCTACTGCGTAAGTATATTACTTAGCTTATCGTTAATAAGTAATAGGGTAGCTTACTTATCCCGAATTATATAGCGGTTTTTATATCGAAATTACTATATTGCGTTAAGCGCGTACTTAGGGTATATTACGTATATTATATAATTAAAAAGTATACTATATTATATAATTTCCTTTAAAAGCGTAATCCTATTAAGGTCGATCTTTTGCGCCTATAAAGCTAGAAAAAAACTACTATATTTATAAGCTTAGAAGACTAGATTTTTTAAAAAAAAAAGTTAATATTATAATTTAATATATATAATAAGGCTAGGGCCTTGCCCTATAAGACTTAGAGTAGTTATTATATTATATATATAAAAATACGGACTTAAAATAACTCCTCTTAAAATAAAAGAATTATAAATAAGTTACGTAACTATAATTATATAATAAAATAAAGAACGGATATTTATAAATAAATAAGATAAATAATTATAAATAAATAAGATAAATAACTATTTAGTAAATAGTTAGATAATAATAAATAGGAATATTATAAAGGATATATTTAAGAACGAGACTTATATATAATATAAACTTAAGCTAAGCTTAAGGATAAACTTCTTATAACTTTTTTAATAATTAACTTAATATTAAATTTTATAATTATTTTTAGTTATTTTTATTAAGAACCTTTTTTAATAAGATTATAATTAATTACTAAAGCCTTATTTATTTTACAATTTATAGATATAGCTCTAGGGAAGCTATTTATAATTATAATATTATTTACTTAGTACTCGTAGCCTTAACTTTTATTAATATACTTATTATTATAAGCTAGCCGTAATATTATATTACTTTAACTTTTTTTTATTATTACTAATTAATAATTAATTAACTAGTTATAGGTTAATAAGAGCGCGTTTTATTATATATAATCTTTTTTATTAAGGCTACTATTATAAAAAAATTAACTATTTTATTATTATTATTAACCTTGCTTTTATTATTAATATTATTTTTATTAACCTTATTATAATTATAAACTTCTTTTTCATCGAGCTACTCGTAAAAAAATCTATTTTAAATATATTATAACTAAGCGCTATTTTAAATTAATAATAAATAAAAAGAGATTAATTATTAAGAAATTAATCTAACGATTATTAACGTATTAGTACTTAGTAATAATAAGACCTTTAGAATTATAAATACGTTAATAGTAATATTCTTTTATAAATAGCGAAGTATTCTAAGATACTAAAGAAAAGAAAAAATCTTAATAGTAGTAGTAATAAGGTTCTATTTTATATTATTAATAAATCTACTTTTTTTTAATTTAATAAAAGCTCCGAAACTAAATAAATAAAAATAAGGTATAAAAAATATTAAAAACAATTACTAATTAGTAGCCGACGGAATCCTCTATTTATTACTAAAAGTACGGTTATAAAAGGCCTTTTCTTTCTTTTTATAACCTTTTATTTATTTTAATAACTTTCTATTTTAGTAGCGTCGGGCGCTTAATATTGCCGTTAATAATCCGTAGTTATGAACTTTATAGGAGGGAAAGTTAAAAAGTTAGAAAATCTAAAAAAAATAGTTTATTAAGATAGTAGGAGTATTTATTAATACTATATATTAATACTATATAATTAATACTAAGAACTGCCCGAGTAACTAGTAAAGGTAGAATATAAAAGAAATAAATAACTTTTTATTTATATACCTCGTTGAAAAAGTAAAGTTTTCTAATTAGTAATAATAACCCGCTTATTATTATTAAAACGATTATTATAACTAACTTATTACTTATTTAAACCTACTTAATATTATATTATAATTAAAATATAACGATTACTTTTTACGATTATTTCTTATTATATAACTTATTTTATAGATATATTATAATAACTATTAGCCTTAGTAATAAGTAAAAAGGGGCTAATAACTAGTTAATATTACCCTAAACCTATTTATACTCTTAAATTATAAAACTATACCTAATTCTAACTTACTAATAAGATTACGTTAACTTAACTTAATAAGGCTTATTTAATATTATACTTACCCTTATAAATAATAAAAAGTTTAATACCTTCGTTCTTTATATAATAAGATCTTATTATTAAAACGGCTTAATAAGTAAAGAGCTATAAAAGAATTTTAAAACCGACTTTTAAAGCTAAGAAGTAAGGGACTTTTTAAAAATAAAAAGTACGATTTTTAAAAAGTTAAAAAACTTTTTTATAAATAATAGTATTAACTTAATAATTAAGGATCGTAATTAAATAGTAAATAAGATTATTAATATTTTTAATACTTAGTACTTCTCTACTTAGATTTTTAAAAAAATCGTAGCTTATTATAACTATACTAAATATTTTAATATATTATATTACTACCCTTATTTTTTTTATTTATTATTTTTATAATTAGTAAATATTAACGATCTTATTTAATAAGCTAGAGAGATAGTAAAAGAGTTTACGTAAACTTAGCTAGCTTAATTAAAATAATTAAAATTATGACCTTAGTATTACGATTTAATATATATAATAAGGCTAGGGTCCCGCCCTACGGGACTTATAATAATTATTATATTATATATATAAAAGTACGGACTTAAAGTAACTCCTTTTAAAA